GACATTGGGCCTCTATTGAGGTCCTCCCTCAACACAAGAACACTTTGTTCTAATGACCTGGCATTCTGTGATGCTCACCTTCCCGACACAATCACTGAAGACAAAAGGGTGTGTAAGCAAATTTGGTGAAGAAATAGGATGGTGCCTAGCTATTAGAATATATAGCATCTGGAGTTTTAAAGGCTTGAAGTTAAAGAAGGAGCCATCTAGCAGGGAAGTAACAAAGCCTACATGGAATAAGCCCACCAGCTTGTGATCACAGGGGTCAATGGTGTCAGGTATCAGGTTTGCCAAAGACCCCAAACAAACAATCATATCAATGTGCACAAGGAGCATCAGAGTGGAGACCCGAAGTCCATCTGTAGACAATTGGACATCTCCTCACAGAAGGGTTAAAAGGAAGGGACGTGCCAGGGTGCAGTATAGCACCAACAAAACACACAACATTCTTCTAGTGCTTTAGTACTTCCTACCCCCAATATCATGACCCCAGTTCTACCTGACAAATCTGACTAGACTGGAGCATGTTCACGGTTACAGGTGAGAGCTCTCGACACATGGAATCCAGCACAGATAACCACCTGAGTAACACTCATGGGAGTAGAGATACCATGAGAATCAGGGTAAGGTGGAAACAGACGAGGGGAAAAGGGGAAATTATCACGATTGATATATAACACACATACATCCCCGGGGGATGAACAACAGAAATCTGAGTGAAGGGAGATAGTGGACAGTGTAAGATATGAAAATAATAATAATTTATAATTTGTCAAGGGTTCATGAGGGTGGGGAAGGGAGGGGAAAAAGGAGAGCTGATACCATGGGCTCAAGCAGAAAGAAAATGTTTTGAAAATGATGATGGAAACATATGTACAAATGGGCTTGATACAATTTATGTATGTTTTGTTATAAGAGCTGTAAGTGCCCCCAATAAAATGAGGTTTTTTAAATAATAAAACTAGAAGAATGAAACTAGTACATATTAATATTTAAATAGTTACTATTGCACCAAAACTTAACAAATGTAGAAAAGTTTTTGACAATATGTAATGTGATTTTAAACTTACTAGAATTTAAAATATTAGAATCTAGGCTTTTAATATTGTTTGGAAAAATTGAAGATGAAGCAAAAGAAAGTATTGTCAATATTTAAAAGTAATAAAATTGCTCATAATGGTAATTAAACCAGAAATATTTGTTTGCAACAGGCATTATTGATGTCCATATCATCTTTTTCATGGATTGGTCTCACTCGAAAAAGTACAAGTCATGATTGGTTTTGGTTAAATGGCACACTTTTCAAAAATAAGTAAGCATTTCTGAATAATTCTTTTTAAAGTATAAAAACTGCAAAAAGGAAAACTTAGATAAGAAATATAGCTAAACTGAATTAGAAACCTGTAAAATAACATAGAAAGTAAAGGCCATTAAGTGATGACACAGTATATTTAAGAATAAAGCACTCAGTTTCTGTAAAAATAATTTGTTATCTTTAAGAACTATAATTAACCATGTGTATAACATTCTTCTCTTAATATTACATGTAAAATGGCTTTTTGGTGGAATGGTAACAGGGATATTCATTTTCATCCATTACAGCCTAAGCCACTTCCAAAACCCCAATCGTAACTGTGGTGTGATACACTCAGAAGGCTCTGAGGCAGAAGACTGTAAAGATTCATATATGTACATTTGTAAGCATAACATTTAGTGTTAAAGCACTTGATCTTCCCGCTCTTCAAGTATCCAAGAAATGGAAATAGTATGATGATTGCAAAACTCCTATAAACAAATACATTATTTGCTCGACTGGAAACTCCTTGTTAGGAACCCTGGTGGACAATATCTGATGTGCTTCTTCCTCAGCTTATATTCACCAGTACATTTTTCTGTAATAAAATATAACTGTGAGTATAACACCTCATAGTATGTTAAGTGAGAATTTCTTTTCTATATGTTTATCAGTATAATTTTGTAGCAAACCAAAATACAGTAATATCTGTTTTCTTATAAGAAAACTAAATATCTGGTTTTCTAAGTATTCAGATTTTCTATTATTTTCAAGAATTTTTTAATAGTATTAGCAACAGCTGAGCAATTTTCACAATGAAAACTTTACTTGTGGTTGAGGCTTCTGGACTGCTAAAGTGCAGACATATAAAGCCAAGGAAATACTGGCAAGAAATTTCCAACACTCCACAAATTAAAAAAAAGAAGACTGGAAACAATATGTGCTGGATTTTCTAAAGAAAAATTGCTGAGACTCAGAAAGAAAGATTGTAACGGTGGCATTTTACTTTCCCTGCACCAAATGCCTCTCTCCGTGCCCATGATAGCTGTGAAAACCAGCTGCTATACCGCTACTTGAAAGGCAGATTTAAAGCTCTTAAAAGTCCTGTAATTAGAAAATTGCTAGTATTTTACCTTTCTTTCAGCCCTCTTGAAAGCTGCATGCAGAAGTAGAAAGCCTCATCTTTGGCCCTCAGCGTGGCATGGAAATGTTGACCATTTGTTTAGCAGCCCAGGCATAACCTATGAGACCACCGGAACTCCTTGATTTGTGTTGTTGTTGTTTTTTGATGCCGTAGAGATGGTTCCAGATCATAGCAACCCTATCTGCAATGAAAGAAACACCACCTGATCTGCACCATCCTCACAAATATTCCTGTATTTGAGGCTAGTATTGTAGCCACTGAGCGAATCCATCTAGTCTAGAGCTGTGTTAGTCTGGGTACTTTAGAGAAACAAATCTACAGAAACTCATGTATAAAAGAGAGTTTTATATAAAGGTTAAGTTCACATCAAGAAAACATCCCAACTCAGCGCTGCCCACGCCCAAAAGTCCAACATTAACCCATATGTCCAACACCAATCCACAAAGTCCTCATCCATCTCACAAAACACATGCAATGATGCTGACTGCAGGAGGAAAGCCGAATCAGTGAATGTGTAAGAATCTCAGCACTGGCAGGGGTCTCCACATGGCTGCTCCAGCACTCAGGGCTGCATCGGGGTAGATCCATGTGGCTTCTCCTTGGGGATGTCTTGCAGGAAGTCAGCCTTGCCAGCTGAAGCCGGGAACTGGCTAAGGCAGCTGAACCCTGGTCCAAACATCACAAAGCAAGAGACACGAGAACCAGAAAGGGGAGGCTCACTGAGCCCTTTTATTAACCCCACATGTGTTTATAGGCCAGGTTGGCACAATAAACTAACTACCTCAAGAGCCTTCCTCTTTTTTGCTACCTGTCTACTTTGCATGTGGGATGCCCTGTTAGAAGTACTAGTCCCTCCTAATAGCCTGCCCTAAGTTCATGAGACTAAGTCTCTTCATTGTTGACTTAGGAGAATTCTGGAAGTCCTTCTTCTAATATGGATATATTTCCTTTTTGGTTGTCCCCCATACTTGCATTGTTCTTTGTCAGCATCATAATCAAAAGGCATCAGTTTTGCTTCGATCTTCCTTATTCAACGTCCAACTTTTACATGCATCTGAAGAGACTGAAAATGTCAATGTTTGGGTCAGGTGCACCTTAGTCCTTAAAGTAGAATTCTTGGTTTGCAACACTTTACAGAGATCTTGTGCAGCAGATTTAACCAATGCAACATGTCGTTTGATTTTTTTGACTGCTAACTCCATGAGCATTGGTTTGGATAAGCCAGATGAAATCTTGGACGATTTCATTCGCTTCTTCCTTTGGTCCTAATGGTCCAATTGTGTGGACTTGGATTTTCTTTAAAATGAGTTATAATCTATATTGAAGGATAACATCCTTTGATGTTAATCAGATAATCCTCAAGTCCTTCGCATTTCCAGTAAGCATGCTTCTTTCATCTGCCAATTTGAGGTTGTCAATACTCCTCCTCCAATCCTGAAAGATAGCTACTTGGCCAACTGACTTTAAGAGATCCATGTTTGTGCCCATTCCAAAGGTTCAAACTATAGAACAATATCATTGATATCGCATGCAAGTAAATTTTGCTAAGGATCATTCAAAATTGATTGCAGCAGTATACTGATAGGGAACTCCAGAAGTTTAGGCTGGAGTCAGAAGAGGATGGATCATGGATCAGAACAAGAATATTAGACAGGTGTTTATTTGTGTTTTATTAACTATGCAAAGGTCAGCTTCAACAGAGGACATGGAACAAATGATATCACTGCTGATGCCAGATAGATTTTGCTTGAGAGATGTTTATTTGCATTTTATTGACTATGCACAGGCATTCAACTCTGGGGATAATAACAAACTATGGATAGCCTTGAGAATAATAGGAATTTCAGAACACTTCTCTGTGCTCATTCAGAATTTGTAAATGGATCAAGAGGCAGTTGTGCAAATACAATAAGGGAACACTGCAAATAAAATCAGGAAATGTGTGTATCAGGGTTGTATCTCCTCACTAGACTTGTTTAATCTGTACCCTGAACAATTCATCAGAGAAGCTGGCTTATATGATGTAAACTATCCCATCAGGATTGGAGGAAGCCTTTTTTTAACAACCTGCAAAATGCAGAGGTTACAACCTTGCTTGCTGAAAACAAAAAAGACTTGACACACTTCCTGATAAATTTGAATGCTTACAGATTTCCATATGGTTTAAAAATCAATGTAAGGAAGACCAAAATCCTCACAGCTAGACCAATAGGAAACATGATGAAAAATGGAGAACTGTTGGAGGTTGTGATGAACTTTGTATGACTTGGATCCTTAATCAATTCTCATGGAAGCAGCAATCAATAGATGTACTACATTAGAAAAATCTGCTACAAAATATTTTAAGAGTATTGATCAGTAAGGATGTTAATTTGAGAACTAAGATGCACCTGCCCCAAACCGTGGTATTTTCAATTGCCACATACGCATGTGAGAGTTGGACAGTGAACAAGAAAGACCCAAGAAGAATTGATTCATATGAATTGCCATGCTGGACACGAATATTGAAATTACGATGGGCTGCTGGAAGAAGCATGGTCAGAGTGCTCTTGAGATCAAGGATGGCAAGATTCCATGCCACATACTTCGGATGTATTATCAGGAGAGGTTAGCCAATGGAAAAGGACATTATATTTGGTAAAGTGGGAGGGAACCGAAAAATAAGAAGTCTCTCCATGAGATAGATTGACATCAAGGCTGTAACACTGGGATCAGACTTAGGGAAAATTGTAAGGATGGAGCAAGAGCATACACTGTTTCCTTCTAGTGTGTGTTGAGTTAGAACCAAGTACTACCAACAACAAACCAATCTTGATGTCACATTTTTCCATATAAATCGTCTTCTCTGATTACTTTCTCAGGCTACATATTGAATATGAGTGGTGAGAGTATATAATCTTAAGGCACACCTTTCCTGATTATAAACCATTGTTGCTTTTGATCAAGTGTCCCTGGATCCTTGTACAGGTTTTGCAAGAGCATAATTAAGTGTCTTGAAACTTGCACATTTCTCAAGACTCTCGTTAGTTTATTATGATCCAGACAGTTGAATGACTTTGCATAGTCAATAATACCCAAGTAAGCATCTTTGAGACAAAAGTCATCTGGTATCAACAGGGATATTTTTTTGGTTCATGTCCTCTTCTGAATCTGGCCTGAATCTGTAGATGTTCCCTGTCAATAGACTGCGGCAGCTGGTATTGGACGATCTTCAACAAAAGTTTGCTCGTGTGTTAAATCTATAGTTTTGTTCTATAGTTTGCGCATTTTGTTAGTACAAAATCCCTGGAACAGACAAGTGATGCTTCCAGTGCTTCTGCACCTTGTTGAAACATTCCAGTCAGCGTGCCAGAATTTCCTGGTGCCTTGTTTGTGGCTAATGCTCAGTGCAGCTCGATTTTTTCCTTTGATACCATTGGTTCTTGATCATATGCTTCCTTTTAAAAGCTTGAATGGCAACCAGTGGTTTTTGATACAGTGACTCTGAGTATGATTTTCATTTTGCTTAGATGCTTCCCGCATCATTCAATATGGAGCACTGGTGGCTTAGTGGGGACACACTGGGCTACTACTCAGAAAATCAGCAGTACAAGACTGCCAGCTACCGTGAGGGAGAAAGGAAAGTTACTTTCTTAGAAGCTCACAGAGGCAGTTCTAATCTGCCTTAGGGTTGCTACAAGTCAGAATTGAATTAATGGCATTGAGCTTGGTTTTTAGCTCTGGAGCCTGGGGAGCGTAGTGCATACTTATTGGTCTGCTCACCAAAAAGTCAGCAATTCAAAATACAAGGTTTTCTACTCCCATTGAAAACCATAGTCTGGCTCGTATTAGAGGCCTTATATTTGTCCATATTTTTCATCCATGATTGTTATAGTGCTAAGGTTTATGTTTAGGTCTTTTATCCATCTTGAGTTCATCTTTGTAAATGGTATGTGATATAAGTGCTGTTTCATTGTTTTGTAATCACCAGAACCTCTGAGCTGATCACTTTGCTTTGAACTCAATTAGCCATTCAGATCTCTTTGGAAACCCCTATTTTGAGTAGAAATCCTTTGGAAGCACGATAAAGACTAAAACAACTTTAATTAATCTCATTATATGTTAAATTATTCATTTTCAAGTGCTGAAACATTCTTATGTTTTCATATAAATGACTCTTCAGTGTGGTATATAATCCTTTTAAAGTGTAGTTGAATTTGGTTTGCTACTATTCTGTGGAGAATTTTGTATATAGAATCTTGTATTTTTCTTTCTAGTATTTTATAGAATATTTTATATAGAGATTTATAAAATATAATGTATAAAACTTTTTCCTATGATGTCTTTATCTGTCCTTGGTACCAGTGTAATATTTGCCAGTGGAATAGTAAATGTTCACTCTTCTATTTTTTTGGAGAGCTTGAGAAGAATTGTGTGA